TACCAGGTTCTAACAGCACCCAAGTAGTAATGTACCAGGTTCTAACAACGCCAATGTGGCCACATACCAGGTTCTAACAATACCAATGTAGTAATATACCAGGTTCTAATAATACCCATGTAGTCATATACCAGGTTCAACAATGCCCATGTAGTCATATACCAGGTTATAAAAATACCCATGTAGTCATAAACCATGTTCTAACAATACCATGTAGTCATATACCAGGTTCTAACAATACCCATGTAGTCATATACCAGGTTCTAACAATACCCATGTAGTCATATACCTGGCTCCTACAATACCCATGTAGTGATATACCAGGTTCTAACAACGCCCATGTAGTCATATACCAGGTTCTAACAATACCAATGTAGTGATATACCATGTTCTAACAATACTCATGTAGTCATATACCAGGCTCTAACAATACCCATGTAGTCATATACCAGGTTCTAACAATACCCATGTAGTCATATACCAGGTTCTAACAATACCCATGTAGTCATATACCAGGTTCTAACAATACCATGTTGTCTTATACCAGGTTCTAACAACGCCCATATAGTGATATACTAGGTTCTAACAATACTCATGTAGTCATATACCAGGTTCTAACAACGCCCATATCGTGATATACTAGGTTCTAACAATACCCATGTAGTCATATACCAGGATCCATTCATACCCATGTAGTCATATACCAGGATCGATTAATACCCATGTAGTCATATACCAGGTTCTAACAACGCCCATATAGTGATATACTAGGTTCTAACAATACTAATGTAGTCATATACCAGGATCCATTAATACCCATGTAGTCATATACCAGGATCCATTAATACCCATGTAGTCATATACCAGGTTCTAACAATACCCATGTAGTTATATTATATAACCAGGTTTTAACAATACCCATATAGTGATATACCAGGTTCTAACAATACCCATATAGTGATATACCAGGTTTTAACAATACCCATGTAGTCATATACCAGGTTCTAACAACGCCCGTGTAGTGATATACCAGGTTCTAACAGCACCCAAGTAGTAATGTACCAGGTTCTAACAACGCCAATGTGGCCACATACCAGGTTCTAACAATACCAATGTAGTAATATACCAGGTTCTAATATTACCCATGTAGTCATATACCAGGTTCAACAATGCCCATGTAGTCATATACCAGGTTATAAAAATACCCATGTAGTCATGTACCATGTTCTAACAATACCATGTAGTCATATACCTGGTTCTAAAAACACCCATGTAGTGATATACCAGGTTCTAACAATACCCATGTAGTCATATACCAGGTTCTTACAATTCCCATGTAGTGATATACCAGGTTCTTACAATACCCATGTGGTGATATACCACGTTCTTACAATACCCATGTAGTCATATACCAGGTTCTAACAATACCCATGTAGTGATATACCATGTTCTCACAATACCATGTAGTCATATACCAGGCTCTAACAATACCCATGTAGTCATATACCAGGTTCTAACAATACCCATGTAGTCATATACCAGGTTCTAACAATACCATGTAATCATGTACCAGGTTCTAACAATACCCATGTAGTGATATACCAGGTTCCTACATTACCCATGTAGTGATATACCAGGTTCTTACATTACCCATGTAGTGATATACCAGGTTCTTACATTACCCATGTGGTGATATACCATGTTCTAACAATACCATGTAGTCATATACCAGGTTCTAACAATACCATGTAGTAATGTACCATGTTCTAACAATACCATGTAGTTATATACCAGGTTCTTACATTACCCATGTGGTGATATACCATGTTCTAACAATACCATGTAGTCATATACCAGGTTCTAACAATACCATGTAGTAATGTACCATGTTCTAACAATACCCATGTGGTTATATACCAGGTTCTAACAATACCCATTTAGTGAGACCCCAGGTTCTAACAATACCCATGTAGTGAGACACTCGCCATTCAGTAGTACACAAGGTTCTGCTAGTTTATTTTAGTCATAATCTTTGTATCAAAGCGTTGTATTGCGTTTGTTCCATTTGTGTAATCAGTTTTTAGCCGGTGTAAAAACACAAACATGAATTTACCTCAAGGATAATAAAAACATAAATGTATTCAGATTTCAACACGTGCCGGAAGCCACGCTAAAGAACATGGCAAGCTAGTCGACAGTCTCTTCCGTCGACACATGAAACTATCTGTTTTGCCCCAAGTCTAACCGACTGAAAGAATAGGCACATATTCGTCTGAACAAACAGCGATAACTGACTGCTGTCTGAACGTCGGTTTTAATAAAAGCAACATTTGATCAAAGTAAATTTTATGGCTCCCGATGCTGTGAGCCGAGACCTGTTTATAGTTGAATCTGTTGTGCGTTAACTGGTGTTTAATTGTAGACGGAGCTAACATGTGCTCTTACTCTAGGTAGTTCTCATGTTGATCTAAGGCACGTGGTCTACAGTAAACATGTCATATTGTGTTTATTCAGCTCTGACTCCGGGGCTAAGATGAATGATAGGCGGAGGTGCAATGTTTATTACCATGTCGTGGTATTTTGCAGACAACAACATAAAATCATATACGGTATATTTCAGACAGCTACCATTTAACCACACTGATAGTTCCAAGAAGAAAATATCAGCTTCCGATAGTATGAACCGTGGTTTGAAAGTAAAGAAAGTCCTCAGAAAAACAGAGCATTCAGGGAGTGTTGGGCTGTGTAAAGCTTGCCTTTATATTTAAATCATATCTTTATATTACACATTTCGCTTTTACTGATTACCGATAGCAAAACACTACTGCACAAAGTGCAAGTTAAAATGGTATTGTTTACGTTGCCACCATTTTGTTTGGCACAAGCATTGCCGTTTCTTCATGATCACGAAACCGAAAACACTGGAGCTTTCCAGCAATGATAGGTTGTGTGTCATTGTGTTTTATGTACATCGCCGAGATTTTTATTTTAGGAGCAATTTCATGCTGTGCAATCAATAATGTTTGAAAGCCTTGATATTTGAGGGCATAAAACAGAACAAATAAAGAAATGTTGCTTCAAATCACCTGGCTTAGTTCTTGCCAGTCCCTGGATATATCAGCAAAACAGATTACCGTACGACCTTCTGTTAGCTCTATGTACTTTAAATCAGAGACATTCTGCCAAGGCAAAAACTTTTCAACAGTGTATTCCGGCCAATTGAAATAACCAGTAATGGATTTCTGATATGTCATTTCCACGACACACAGGCGCGAGTTTGATGCAAGGAAAAGATTATTAAGGTTCAGGGATAGCTATTGACAATTTAGACGCGAAGTGTTTCAAATTGGATTCAGTTAATCCGTAATATGACAAACGGCAGGATACGCCCTCCTCATGCTAAAAAGCATGTTTAACGGAAATTGTCGTGAGAACGTTTTCCTTTGGTGAAGATGATTAAGCCGTTGCGATGAGGTGGTGGATGGGATTAAGGATCCATAGCATATGTGGTGAAACATGAGATTCTCAGCGGATGTGTTCTCATGAAGCAACACCTGATCCAAAAAACGCGACACCCAGCTATTGATTTAAAGCGTTAGAATTTCATTTTAATTTACATTCATTTCGTTCTTTGCAACAATTCAATATATATTATATAATTTGTCATAGTTCCATGTATTACTGTGCCACCTGCGTCATTTGCAGTTCACGGAGAAACAGTTGGGAGGTTCCGGGGTTGTATATCATGATGCCCCCCTTACACAACCTGCATCATTATTTCCCACACATATAAGAAGTGATGTCATTACTTCCCACACATATAAGAAGTGATGTCATTATTTCCAACACATAAACGGCGTCATGTCATTATTCCCCACACATATCAGACGTGATGTCATTATTTTCCAAATATATACGGTGTCATTTTTTTAATTTCCCACACAAAAATGGCGTCCTGTCATTATTTCCAACACATATACGGCGTCATGTCTTTATTTCCCACACATATAAGACGTGATGTCATTATTTCCGACACATATAAGACGTGATGTCATTATTTCCGACACATATAAGACGTGATGTCATTATTTCCCACACATAAAAGACGTGATTTCCAGCATATATACAGCGTGATGTCATGATTTCCAGCATATATACAGCGTGATGTCATGATTTCCAGCATATATACAGCGTGATGTTATGATGTCCAGCATATATACAGCGTGATGTCATGATTTCCAGCATATATACAGCGTCATATCATGATTTCCTCCACGCGTTGCAGCGACCGAGAGTAACGTGACGTGACGTGATTTCACTAACATGCATTCTATCTAGTCATACTGTGTAATGATTTCACTAACATGCATTCTGGCGTGTCATACTGTGTAATGATTTCACTAAGATGCATTCTGTCATTATTTCCCACACATATCAGACGTGATATCATTATTTACCACAGATATAAGAAGTGATGTCATTATTTCCAACACATAAACGGCGTCATGTCATTATTCCCCACACATATCAGACGTGATATCATTATTTCCAACACATAAACGGCGTCATGTCATTATTCCCCACACATATCAGACGTGATATCATTATTTCCAACACATAAACGGCGTCATGTCATTATTCCCCACACATATCAGACGTGATATCATTATTTCCAACACATATACGGCGTCATGTCATTATTTCCAACACATATAAGACGTGATGCCATTATTTCCTACACATATAAGACGTGATGTCATTATTTCCGACACATATAAGACGTGATGTCACGTGATTTCACTAACATGCATTCTGCCGTGTCATACTTTGTAATGATTTCACTAACATGCATTCTGCCGTCTTATACTGTGTAATGATTTCACTAACATGCATTCTGTCTTGTCATACTGTGTAATGAGTTCAGTGACATAAATTTTATCGTGTTATATTTTTTCACTAACATGATTGCATTGTGACGACACATCTTAATACAAACTTACCCATTTCCGGATCGTAATCTCCAATGAACCTCTTCGTCAGATACCGCACTATCAGAGCTGTAAGAAACACAGGCTAGTGTTAGTTCAGGACGGAGCAGAATTCAAGGTGTCTGATGATAATCAGTCTGTCATGGGATGCGATACTACCGCGGACACAATTGTCACCAGAAACGAAACATCCACATGTATCTGTACACGGTGTGTATAAGTCTTTTACCTTAACACTCAACACAAATACACACACTCTACATATACTCAGTAATAGTAATATATGTGCGGAATAATCAAATCTGCAATTACTATTGTGGACTGAGACACGACATGGCTGCGTCAGTGGATCCGATAATCCAGTGATTGATATCATGAGCATCGATCCACGCAATTATGATACGATGACATGCATCAACCAAGTCAGCGAGCCTGACCACCCGAGCCCGTTAGTTAGATCCATCTTAAGACAAGCATAGTCGGTCTAACTACAAGCATGGGTTGCTGAATAGTAGTTGTAGTAGTAGTAGTAGTATTAGCTTGTTATGATTACTTTCTCAATATCTCGATTCCACCCCACGCCCCTCTCTCCCCCACCCGATGTGTATGTGACTCATGTGTTGATACACTGACATGTTTAGTCATCCCCTCGCTTTATACAGCAACATATGACAGACATGAACGTGTTGACTTTGGTAGTGTAAGGTGGTTGATGCACTGAATCGAACCTCGGGATTCTACACGTCGTTCACCTCAACATGCAGTAGAGATAAAGATCACAACCACAAATACACAAATAGAAGAAATGTAATTAATATCCGGAATAATCAACATTGTAATTATTACTCTGGATCGAGACACGCCATTGATGACTCGATAACTGTTCCTGGCTTCCCGATCAGTGGAGCCGCCACCGACAGGCTGTCATGAGGATCACAGCGAGCTCTTCCAGACTCCCCCATTATTCTCCAGCGCTCCATACAGCTGTGTTTCTTTGTTTGTAGTGTAACGCCGCACTCAGCAATATTCCAGCTATATGACGGCGGTCTGTAAATAATCGAGTCTGCACTAGACAATCCAGTGATTGATATCAGGACCATTGATCCACGCAATTGGGATCGATAACATGCATCAACCAAGTCAGCGAGCCTGACCACCCGATCGCGGTAGTCGCCTCTTACGACAAGCATAGTCGCCTTTTAAGGCGAGCATGGGTTGCTGAAGACCTATTCTACCCCCATACAGCAGTGACTGCACCAGGCATCACCATAAGTTGTAGCAGGATCATGAGGGGTACATGGGATTGTATGCGTCCAGCGTTAGGCTTAGTACCACGAGCCGGAGCTGACGAGGGATGCATACAACCTCAAGTAATCCGAGTGATCCTGCTACAAAGAATGTATCTTACCGACATTTTAATTAAGCGCCAGGTCCTGATGGTGTCTTTGTAGTTTAAGATATGGCAGTAATGTTTTAATCCCATGCCTTGTTACTCTTTTGACTCCCCTCCATGGAGTGTCATTGATGTAAATAACTATCGGGGTATCACTCCTATGGATATTTGTGGCAAGCTTTTCACGCAGGCTCTAAATATCAGGTTGAAACAGTTTCTGGAGTTATGTGATGTCAGGCAGGTTTCCGTGGATAATATGTTTATACCGCAATCTGTAGTTCAGATATATTTGGTTGTTTATAAATTTCTAGAATGCTCTGGTTTGACTTCACTGAAACAGAATTAATTGAGTGAGTGAGTGAAAGTGAGGGTGGTTTTACCTTGCTTTACTTAATATTTCAGCAATGTCACGGCGGGGGTCACCAGAAATGGGCTTCGCACATGGTACGCATGCGGGGAATCGAACCCGGGTCTTCGTCGAACGCTTTAACCACTAGGCTACCCCATCGCCCACGGAAATAATTGAGAAACACTTACTATCATAAAGGATATTTACTCTAAAACTTTATTTTTGGTTAAAATATCACAGAACAGTATATGGGATTAATTTAATTGTTTCAGTGGTAATAAACTAGACTGCATTTTAAGCCCTATTTTGTTTTCACTATTTATTAATCAGTGGGAGAATGATATCCAACAGATGGGAGAGAGGGGAATCTCAACAGGATTTAATGGAGCTATTCCTGCTTTTGTATGCTGATGATTTGATCATTCATTTGGAGACTGCGTCATGTCATGATTTCCTTACATAATATTGCGTCATATCATGATTTCCTTACATAATATTGCGTCATGTCATGAATTCCTTGCATAATATTGCGTCATGTCATGATTTCCTTACATAATATTGCGTCATGTCATGATTTCCTTGCATACTATTGCGTCATGTCATGATTTCCTTGCATAATATTGCGTCATGTCATGATTTCCTTACATAATATTGCGTCATATCATGATTTCCTTGCATAATATTGCGTCATGTCATGATTTCCTTGCATAATATTGAGCCATGTCAGGATTTCCTTGCATAATATTGAGCCATGTCAGGATTTCCTGAGTTTATACTGCGTCATGTTATGAATTCCGTACATAATACTGCATCATGTCTTGATTTCCTTACATAATACTGTGTCGTATCATGAATGGTTTCACCTTACACAATAGTGCATCATGTCATGATTTCTTTACATAATACTGCGTCATCTCATTATTCCCCTTACACAACACTGCGTCGTGTCATCACCTCACTATCTCGTATTACATCTTGCCGCAAGCATCATTCTTTCTTGCCATGATTCAATAACAATTCTGTCAGTTCATCACAAATCAAGGAACACTGGTGCTCCAGTGACCCACGGCAGTGCATAGTAGCGTCCTTTCGGCGTCCCTGCTTCGCATACCAGGTGCGCCCTTATGGAATAACGTATAGTCTAATATTTTATTACACAAAATATTTCTCACTTTTAAATTGTTTTTCTCATGTTGATTTCATTACCCATTTTCAAGAATGGGTTTGATCAAATTCAATGCAGATAGTCCACAGTCATGGTCAACCATTAACAATTATATCTATTCAAAAACGGTTTCCCTTGAAGCTAAATCTGTTTTACTGCACTGATACTACTGATAATTTTAAATGGAATTTAAAAAACAAACATGTTGACCTTTCATCTACTTTGACTGAGATCAAAGTTTAAGTCGTATAATCAGCCTGGGACGGCAGCGGAAGTCATCGCTGTGACATCGTTGGCTATATGAGCGCCACAGATGTAGGTGCCTACATGCAAGTGTGGTAAAAGAACTTCATGGATGGCAAAATCACACCAGTCCTCCATGAGCAAATATGTCTGACATACATCGGGTACAGTCGTGTAAGTCAGCAATAAGATATATGTTGCTGTCAACAGTGTCTAATTTCCCAAGTGTCCCTTCACACTACAACGTGGAGTGTATAGATTGTGTAACATAAATGAGTGTGTCATACTGAACTTAGGGAACGAGGGTCCAGCACTTCCTGAACAGCTGTACCAAAGAGGTACTGTGTTGAATATTGATCACTAACGTCAACGTGATGGCAGCAAGTATGGGTTGTTGCGTCAGTACAATATGGCGTCAATGATGACGTCTGTGTTACCCCAAGAATGGTTTACGTTAATAATGTTACGAGTGAAATAATTATGGGACGTGGTGTTATGGAATTGCATTAACTCGTTGTTTTGGAATAGTGTGGTTACTAAGTATCAGAGTATTGGCTATGTGTTATTGTAGAAATCTGGCAATCCGCCTTGTTTGTTCGTGTCTTTTCGGAATTTCGCGTCCTGAGCTTTTTGTTGTGAGCAGTTGCCAGATTCAGACAGAATAAAAATTATGTTATTTCTGGATAAATTTGAGATTAAAATGTCGTGATTGAAATGCAGTATGGCAAGAAGTACGAAGTGTCAGTATTTATGCAAAATACATTCGGATATGACTTCTTGCGGCATCTGTTCAAGTATCTGTCTTGGTGACAGTTGAAACTGTTGACTACATTTCCAGGTGAGCTACAGTGCCACGACAATTGGTTTTCTAATTTCAACTCCGTAATAAAAAATGGTCGGCTCAATGAACTGACTATATTTCATGCTGCGAACTGTACCCCTTTCTCTTCTACGTAAAACATGTGTATCTTGATAGAGTTATAAACTGTCCACTGAAGATCCGGGTTAGAATAGATCTTCAGCAACCCATGGTTGCCAACAGTAGGAACTGTCTTTTAGGTTCCTGCCTTGTGTTGTGGTAAAACGTTCACTGGCATCTGTATATTTTATCATTTTACATTTGGTGTTGGGGACGTTGAAAATTTATTGATAATGGTAAGCGTGTATCAATTTCGTCCCTATCGCTTGTGAAGTAAATGTCGATGAAGGCCCTAACAGATCTTTATAGTAAACTGTTTGCATCAAAGAAAGTAAGTATTTTATATGTACATATACAGTGTGCATCCTTAGCGAGGAAACACAACGTGTTAGAACATCAGCGGAGGAAGAAGAATGGTTTATGCTTCAAATTATTTGACATAGATCCATGTTTATTACCTTTGGGCTCAACTGTGTAACAATGATGCTCATTAGACATATTCTGTAGCATTAATTTACATACCCAGCCCGGAGATTGGGATAGGTCGTTTTTTTATATTTAACTTGGCACCGAGTACCAATTTGATTGTCCAGAAATAATTTCACAAAGAATTCAAATAAACACGTTTACGATACAACGGAAATGTCAAGGGGAAATAGCGTTTTGGCCATTACGTTGATAGCATACTTTGAATGGCTAACACACGGGAAGCCAAGCTTCAGATGTACTGTTATGCCACTATTTTCTTCATTAAAGAGCATTGCAAATCATGAGAGCAACGACCACCGGCGTGTTTACTGAGAAGTTTTTTCCGTGAAGTGTTTATTAACGGGAAGGAAGGTCGTTGTGTCATAAAGCCCTGTGGTGCCTGGTGCAGTCACTGCTGTATGGAGCGCTGGAGAATAATGGGGGAATCTGGAAGAGCTCGCTGTGATCCTCATGGCAGCCTGTCGGTGGCGGCTCCACTGATCGGGAAGCCAGGAACAGTTATCGAGTCATC